CCGGGCTGGATTCGAACCCACCACCTTAGGTGTATGTGGCTGGTGCCTTAGCCACTTGAGCCACAGGCGCCGAGCCAGTTTGCTAAGTTTTGTCATGTATACCTATATCTGTCACATTTAAGATAATGAATCTATCACCCCAAAAAGACTTTTCCCCCTTTATGATAACTTCTTTTCCTAACACAAAGGAATGCTTTTGTTTTACTGTCAGAAGGTACATACATGATCTGTCTCTTGGCTTGAGAGATATGAATTAAGTTCTTATTTACCCATGTGTTTCTTTGTGTGTGTATGTGTGTGTGGGGTTCTTTTTTTTTAAGACAGTCTTAGGCTGTTGCCCTGGGTAGAGTGCCGTGGTGTCATAGCTCACAGCAACCTCTAATTTGGGTTCAAGCAATCCTCTTGCCTCAGTTTTTCTATTTTTAGTAGATGGGGTCTCACTTTTGCTCAGGCTGTTTTTGAACTTGTGAGCTCAAGCAATCCACCTGCCTTAGCCTACCAGAGTGATTATAGGTGTGAGCCACCATGCCTGGCTACTGATGTGCCTTTCTTTTTTTTTTTACTGTAACTAAATGCACATAACATGAAATATATTGAAATAAATAAAATAGGCTGCATAGATTATATTGTATGAATATGTCATGTTTATCCTGTTCTCTAATGTTTCTCTAAGATTTCCAGTTTTTCATTATGATAAACATCACTAGAATGAACTTCTTTATGTTTCATTGAAGGCTTTTTGATAACATCTACCATTCTGTTTCATTTCAGATTATGAAAAGGGGGGTGTTTTAAAAGTTGAAGATTTTGAAAGAAAAGCCAGGGAAGGTAAGTGTTGGGGGAAGCCTTTAAAGGCAAGCCTTTGAGGCTGTGCTTGCAACTCTAGTGACCTAAAGCACCTCAGTCAGCTCAGAAAGCCTATCAGCCTATCAGAAAGCTGGTTTCCTCTCTTTTTTTTTTTTTTTTTTTTGTTGAGATAGGGTTTCACTCTGGCACCCAGGCTAGAGTGCCGTGAGATCAGCCTAGCTCACAGCAACCTCAAACTCTTGGGTTCAAGTGATCATTCTGCCTCAGCTTCCCAAATAGCTAGGACAGCAGGCATCTGCCACAACACCCAGCTAATTCTGTTTTTGGTAGAGACAGGGTCTTGCCTGTGTTCAGGGTGGTCTCAAACTCCTGCGCTCAAGCAATTCTCCTGCTTCTGCCTCCCAGAGTGCTAGGTTTACAGGCATGAACCATCACCCAACCCAGAAGGCTGGTTTCCTTTCTGGATCTTCTAGTCTTTGCTATGAGTTAAAAGCATCAGGTGATAGCCCAGTGCACTGGTGCATGCCTGTGGTCCCAGCTACTCTGAAGGCTGAGGTAAGAGGCTAAAGCAGAGGATTGCTTGAGATCAGGAGTTTGAGGCTGCAGTACACCATGATTTCACCTGAGAAGAGCCACTGCCCTCTAGCCTAGGCAACAAAATGAGACCCTATCTCTGCCTGGCTGAGGCAAAAGGATCGCTTGAACCTAAGAGTTTGAAGTTGCTGTGAGCTAGGCTGATCCCATGGCACTCTAGTCTGGGTGGCAGAGTAAGACCCTATCTTAAATTTAAAAAAAAATTTTTTTTTTTAAGCATTAGGTAGCATAGAATTCTGGGAAAGAACATGGGAATAAAAGAGGCTTTGGGGAAATGCTATAACCCTTAATCTTCTTTCTACATTTCTTCTTTCCTTAATTTTTAAAAAATTGAAATACTCTCATCAGTGTTAATGAAACATTGAACATCAGAATACCTGGGAAATAGCCATGGAGGCTTCCTTGAGAGAGTCAATCTAAAATACAAATGATCTTGGCTCAGCGCCTGTAGCGCAGTGGTTACAGAGCCATGCCCTGAGCGCCTGTAGCACAGTGGTTACAGAGCCATGCACTGAGGCTGGTAGTATGAGCCTGGCCCAGGCAGCTAAATAATAATGACAACTGTACCAAAAAAAATAGCCGCGTGTTGTGGCAGACACCTATAGTCCCAGCTACTTGGAAGACTGAAGCAAGAGAATCACTTAAGTCCAAGAGTTGGAGGTTGCTGTGAGCTGTGATGCCACAGCACTCTACCCAGGGCAACATAGTGAGACTCTTGTCTCAAAAATAAATTAACTAATTAATTAAATTAAATGCAAATTATCTTATCTAGTGTAGACCTGAATGGTATTTCCCTGTCTTCTGGGCCTCGGCATTAATAATAAATAAGAGACTTAGAACTAAGCCTCCACAATAAGTAATAGAAACTTAGCAAACAAACGAGGACCCATGTAAATTTGAGTAGATATCACACCAGAAATATGCAAACTCTTAAGAAACTACAGTCTTTCAGAGCCAATCAGTTGCACAGTCTAGTCTCTAGGAGACCCAGGCTTAATATAACCAAATGAAGACTTCTGCTTTGCTTATTCTACCTCTGTCTATATTTAGAAATAATCCTCCACTTCTCAGTTAAGTGCAAATTTGAACTCCACTGTTCACTCACTTTCACTTCTAGTGTGTGATAACTTGGGAAACTTCACCTCCGGCAGTCCTTTTCTGTGCATGGATCTAGCCTATATCACAGCCCTATTAAAAGATGGGTTTGGATTTGCAGACAGCACCATCTTACAGGTAAGAGATGGGAAACCAGATTTCCATAGCAGTCTTCTTTTGTGGGGGTTGGGAAGAGGGAGTTAAGAATTTGTTTAGTAATCAGAGTAGATACAGGTAGAATTAGGTATTTTTAACTAGGCTATGGAGAAGGCACTGTGCTAGGCACCATGAATGTGGGAAATTACATTGATGCAATGGTAGCCTCCAAGTATATTACCAGGCAAGCTACCCCAGAGGTCACAGATAGGTCACATAACAGAAATTTTGCAGCTCAATTTAACATGCCCAGGTCACATGATTTAGTCAATCTATTTATTTAGCCCTCATATCTCACTTCATTTTATCCTTAGAACTTTTCAATACAGATAGTATTATTTCCCTTTTACACAGGATGCAACTGGTACTCAGAAAGATTCAGTGTATTTTCTGGATTAACACAGTGAATCACTTTAGAACTCAGGGCAAGAAGCAAGGGAAAAGAGAGAAGAGATCTGAACACACAGATAGGGTACAAACAGGTTGGAAAGGCCACACTTCCTCAATTGTGGGTTGCACTTGCATGAGTTCATATAGTCTGCCATTGATGGGGTAGTTACAGATACTAGAGCTTATATTTGGTCAAGGGAGTACAAAGGCAGAGCTGCTTGGGACATCACACAAATTTGCCCAATTTGGAGAGGACCAGGGGCAGGTACACCTGACCAGTATATTAGCTCACCCATTAGTCCATTAGATTGGTTTTATTTGGCAAAGGACATGAGGGACTAGAGAGATCACCAGTTGAGTGGCTTATTTAAGACCTCATGAATATTGAATGCCTCATGCATGTGTAGTGTGTCATATATATTTTATGTGTGCCTCATATCTTTAGGTAGCTCTTAAATCTTTTTTTTTTTTGAGATAGGGCTTCAAGCTATCGCCCTGGGTAGAGCGCTGTGGCATCATCGCTCACAGCAACCTCTAACTCCTGGGCTCAAGCGATTCTCCTGCCTCCACCTCCCAAGTAG